AGTAGGTTAACACCAACTTCAGTGGTTAGGTCAAAAGACATGTGAACACCAGCTTTAATTCACATGCATTCAACTAATCTCCTTGCCTGTATATTTGTTTCCCATGGCTTTTCAATCCACAAATTTCCCCCCAGTAGGCTTGTTCCTTAGCTCATGGTTTTATTTTGGATATTTTGTTTAGGTTGATTCAGATCCAGAAACTGAAAACATATCCATGAAAAATCCTATAAGGGAAAGCAGCCTGTAGATTTCTTCTGCAGGCATTGCCCAATATATTTGGGTTTGTCTAGTCATCCTCAGAATAACTTCTGGGCATGGGCAGCCCACCTATTTCCAACAGTAGTTCTCAGAAGTCTTTGCTGGTTCTCTTTGCCACCTGAATAGCTGCTTCCTAAACTATGGGGCCAAAGTAGAGCTAGTAGATTCACTGATTTTTCAGTTTTCCCGGAGTTCAGAAAAAAATGAGTTAGGTCAAACGGAATTCTAAAATTGCAAAAAGTTGGCAAATTAAAAAAAAATCAATTTTGAATCATACTGGCAATTCATAGTCATTCATAATGACAATAAATAGTCATTGGGCTAGAGAGAGAATGAGTGAAAATGACTGACTCTGTAGCCTGGTTGTTATGGCACTCACCTACGATGTAAGAGGCAGCTCCAAGCTCAAAACCCTGCTGCAATGACTTAATTATTTATACACAGAGAGACTGACTGACTGCCCCACCAGATCATACAATATATCAGTGGCTAGGGCATTCCGTTGGTTTGTGGGACATTCAAGTTCAAATCTCTGTTCCACATCAGACAGAAGGGGGGGATTGAATCCAGGCCTCCCATATCCCAGGTAAGGGCCTGAAGCACTGGTTTAAAACTTCTTTCCCCTAAATTGTTTGTTTTTGTGGTAAAAAATATTGGCCAAAACCGTTCAGTCATCAATCAAAAAACATTGAGATCATTGTAGGCAAATGTTAATTTGTTACCGGAACAAATAGCAAGAAATCTATGATTCTGTTCTTACCAGATTTTCAAGAAGCCCTTTCACCATCCTTTAAAATTCATTGTAACTGTACAATGTAATGTAGGGGCAATTTATTGAAACCCAGAAGAAAGGAAAATTCTTGGAATTTTCACCTTTTATTGCGAAGTTAAGTTTCTGCAGGAGGCGGTTGGAGGACAAGGAGTCAGGGAAAGGATGTTATATTAGAAGTTTACCAAAAGCCTAAAGATTACTACTGTAAATTCTTTGCCTTTTGGCTAATCAAGAACACAGATCCATTCTCCTTTTGAGAATCATAATAGACTTTTGTTTAGTAAGGCAAAGGTTATTGATATTTTCCTTTCTCATTTGCCTAATCTCATTTTGATACATGGCTCTATCAGTGGTTTATAAATTGACTTGCCTGTTCTTTCATCTCTCTCCTGGCATCTTCTTCCCTTGAGTTACAAATCCGATCTTGTGCCCGTAACTTGAGCACACACCCTAAGGGTGTAAAATGTCATTAAATAGGGCAACTAAAATACAAGTGAGATCACCAGAATGACCCGTTGATAATGTCTGCTTTTGGATATGAGGAACATTAGCAAAGACTGGTCTATCTTTAGTTCAGCACAAGCAGTACTTAGACTTACTACTCTTTTGACTATCTGACCCAGATATTGGATTGTAGCCAGGTCAGAAGGATAGGCCCCAGTTTTTGAGGGAAGCTTTTATAAAATAAACATTTCAATTTCTGTCATATTACCCCCACTAAATATATATATATCTGTTTACCTGTGAACCCATGATTGTCATTTTGGATATTTTACACAGCAACTAGACACCTCTGGCTGGCCTGTGCCAGCTGACTCGGGCTTGCAGGGCTCGGACTGTTTCAATGCTGTGTAGACGGTGAGGTCAGGCTGGAGCCTGGGCTATAGGACCCTGTGAGGTGGGAGGGTCCCAGAGCTCAGGGCTCCATCCCAAGCCCATAAGTCTACAACAGCAGTGTAACAGCCCAAGCCCTGTGAGCCCAAGTCAGCTGGTATGGGCCAGCCACTGTTTTTTTCTTTGCTGTGTAGACATACCCCAAGGGGCAAATATGCTGCTGACTCCTAATACAGCCCTAATAGGGTTAACAGGGAAAAAGACAAGGAGTCAATTGAATGTAAAACTGCACAATTCTGTACCGGTGCTCCCTGATCTGGTTTTACTCTGTGTCTCATGAGAAGTGCTTTAACACTACAATGAATCTTTGACCATTCCTAGCTGTCTGTTCAGTTCCAGTTCTTTCCACGTCTGTGGAACCCATAGCATGATGTTGACACCCTAATTTTTTTTTAATAGTTTAAACCTTTTTTTTTTTTTTTTCCAAGGTGACTCTAGTTCTGATAAAGGTGCACTATTTAGCTACAGAAGTGACATCGGATAGGGAGTCACAGTACAAGTTGGTCCATAATGCCCAAGCAAAGCCCCATGCCCTGGAATGGAGGGTCTCTTTCTACAAAGGAGACATTGACCAGTGCCCATTTAATCTCTGGGATCTCTGTGGAGACTACAGAGATAGGCCCAGATCCCGCAGTTGCACCAGGTGGGCTGACCCTTGTGATTGTCTGGATGCCCATTAATTTCAAGAAAAAAGAAAAGGAGTACTTGTGGCACCTTAGAGACTAACCAATTTATTTGAGCATAAGTTTTCGTGAGCTACAGCTCACTTCATCGGATGCATACTGTGGAAAATACAGATGAAGTGAGCTGTAGCTCACGAAAGCTTATGCTCAAATAAATTGGTTAGTCTCTAAGGTGCCACAAGTACTCCTTTTCTTTTTGCGAATACAGACTAACACGGCTGTTACTCTGAAACCTGTCATTAATTTCAAGGAAATTCCACAAGGGAATGGAGTTTGGGTTTAGTTGCAAGAAATGGTTAAATAATACCAGCTGATATGGTGGGTTTAGTGCTGTATGTACATTTTCAGACAGAAGATAATGACATTTTTACTACTGACCTGTGAGTAGTCCCACAGTAGAGTAGACTACTAATCATATTTATAAGTCTTAGTAGGATTGAGGCATCTGTGAACTAGAAATGGAAAAACTATATAACCCGTGATTAATTCTGCTCTAATCTTAATTTGCTTGTATAGTTACTAATGATTTTGGGGCGGGGGACAAACAAGCCTGTAATTTGATTTACCCAAGTAACACCATTTCTGAAACTAAAAGTTTCTGAATTATTCTGTCTCTGATGCTGTGAATGCCTTCATCTACTACACCATTCTCCTTGAATATGATTGTTTTTTTATGTTTTCCGCATAGGGATTTTAAAATAAAACTAGGCTGTGCCTGCGAAAAGTAAATCTAAAATAAGACTGTCTGATTTCTTTCTAAATCCTTGCTGGCTTGTACAGCCTTTTTCTGCAGTAAAAGCTAGTGATGCCTTATAGCCTTTCACAGTTGTCAGACCATATAATTTTATCAAATAATTGGTTCTGGTCTTCACAAAACTGCAAGTAACAAAGTTCACATCATTTTATTTAAAACTTTTCTGCTGTTGATGGAATTCTCCTCCTGTCCTTTTTTTGGTTCAAGTTGCTGGATTCTCTCATTTTTGACCATTTCTAACCTATTTAGAGCTTTTGATAAGTGCCTGTTATCTGATTTCTGGTACAAAAATCAATACATTTGACCACAGCTCTTCCTTTAAAATCTTGAGAGCATTTGGTACACCCTTGGCATAACCTCCATCTACCTGTCTTTGAGTAAATAAAATCACTTTTTAGATGTTCATTCTCCATCATTTAGTAAAATGTTTGTTGTTGTTTTTGTTGATACTTAATTTCATTCCCCTTAGTAATGCACTGATCAGCATTCAAAAAAGCCTGACTCTGTTGAACTTTAAGGTCGTGGCATGTTCTAAGTTGGATTGCAAAAGACCATTCTCATTCCAGTACTAATGAGTATTAACCCAAGAAACAAGTTGCTCTGGTTACCCAGGTAGTTGGCTCTAGTACTGAAGTTACAATTTAAAACTTCTCCAGTAAAGCCAAGTGTTTAAAGCATTATCTCCTCAGTGCAGCAGGCTCTCAGTACTAACAAAATAATCCATTGAGTAGAAAGCCCTACATAACGTGCGATATTGCAGATTTTGCAATATTAGGCTTCCACTGCAATTTTGACAGCAGGAGCCTCTCTGTGCATGTACCTGGTAGTGGGATCCCCAGCCACCCAAGGGCTGAGAGCAGGAGCCCCCTCTTTCAACCCTGGGCAGCCAATCTAAGCCTCAGACCCGTGCTCTTAGCCCCGGTCAGCTGACAGCAGAAATTTGGGTAAAAATAACAATGCACTTTATTACTGCAAATATTAAGGTCCATTATTACTTTTCCACAATTTTCCCTGGTTTGTTCACAACTCAACTGCAATTTTTTGACAAGCATCCTGCAATTCATGCAGAGCCTTAACTGAGTAACAGTAATAAAAAACTGCTTATGTTCATCCATTATTAATTGTCTTAGTTCCAAAACACTTCATTCCATTCCTTTAAAATTAAAAACAGTGTACAATAAAATTATGATGGAAAATGGGTTTTTTCCTCATGGGGTGAAAAGTGGGCTCTGGCACTTTTAAAGAGATGGTGTGCAGAACTGGCTCTGCCTTGTGTTTAAAAAAAATCCTTTTTCTTGATTTTTAAGAGTATTAATCTATGTACAATAGAGAATGGAACAAGTTAAAAACAATAATTTACAGTGGTTAACACTGCCCCTTTTGAAGTCTGACTTGTGCTTTATGAATGTAAAGATAAAACTACAGAAAAATGAAGAACTGTAGTTTCACTTGTATGTTTTTATTTTCCATGTTCACATTTTTAAAACATTTATGAATCCTGCAAAACTGTTAAATTATGTATCAGGTTGACTTTTTTCCAGGGTGTTCATGAAACCTCTGTAGGGTGTGCTGGCTGGCTAACCCTTTAACCTCACCCAGAAAAAAGGAGATTTTAGCAATATTTTGTTCTCTTTTTCAGCTGGAGAGACTACAGTCTGAGAATACCTTTGAGTGGGGAAAGAGAGAGATATTTGAAACAGAAAAGCAAAGTCTGGAAAGAGAGAATAGAAGGTGGAAGACCCAGGTGAAAGAAATTCAGGACCTTCTGGATAAGAGAAATAAACTGCTATCAAGTAACTTGGGTTCTGATTTCAAGACAGCACAAGGTGAACTACTGGAAAAAAATAAGGTATGGACTTTACTTGGTAGTAGATCCAAACTTGTTTCAAGGAAGTTCTCAGCCATCAGCACAGATTTAAAATAGTCACTGATCCTGGAAACATTGATGCATCTGTGTAACATTACACACAGGAGTATTCCTATTCAAGTCAAAGGGATTTGTACGTGCATCAAGTAGTGCATGAAGTTAAGTGTTTGCAGGATTAGGGGCCCTAATGTATCGCTTAATTTTATTTTTGAATGGATGGCATGTTCTTTGAAAAAAGGCTCTGATGGATGTAGTCATTCCATAAAGTATAACAATGACAATGATTTTTCTGCATAGTTGCTATAGCTATTAACTTTTTCAAACTGAAATATGACAAGCAAAATCATAGTAAATATTTCCATACTAGACTTTCTTTCATGTAAACTCACTTTTACAGAACTTCAAATTACTGGACTCCTATTTAATTTACCTTGTTCAGTATTCAAATATCATATATAATTCATTCTTTGAAACTATAATACTGCAATAGCTCATTTTCCAGGAGGAGTGTGGGTTTCTAAAGAACAACAAACTGCTTATATCTTATCTTCCTAAAATATGTTTCCACACTATTGTCACAGTTCAGGACAGGTGCATCTCTATTCCCTCTCCGTGGTCTACCAATGGCATCCACACTCAGGCTTCCAGCTTCCCATCCATCACCTCTCTTGGGAAGAGACTCACATTTCTCTCTATCCTGACCGGGGTTTTTCTAGTCTGCTCAGTTTCCTGCTGACACGGCAAGTCAGACTGCCTAAATAGGCCAGAGTCTGTGCTTTGCTTTCTCCCCAGATGCTATAAACAACATAGTTACCCATGGTTAAGTTACCAAAGAGCCCTTTCTAAGCAAACACATTTATTCCTAAGGTGCAAGTATTACAGAGAAAACGTTATAAAAACAATAAAAGAACCTACATGCCTGTTAATAAAGTTACCAGAGAACAACCCCAACTCCAGCCTGGAGCTCTGGTAGGTGATCAGTCCTTCAAACCTCATACAGGTTTGTTAGTTTTTCTTCTGTGGTTACCAGTTCATAGAATCATAAGGTTGGAAGGGACCTCAGGAGATCATCTAGTCCAACCCCCTGCTCAAAGCAAGACCTAATCCCCAACTAAATCATCCCAGCCAGGGCTTTGTCAAGCCTGACCTTAAAAACTTTGCAGATGACTCTAAACTGGGAGGAGAGGTAGATACGCTGGAGGGTAGGGATAGGATACAGAGGAACCTAGACAAATTAGAGGATTGGGCCAAAAGAAATCTGATGAGGTTCAGCAAGGACAATTGCAGAGTCCTGCACTTAGAACTGAAGAATCCCATGCACTGCTACAGACAAGGGGACCAAATGGTTAGGCAGCAGTTCTGCGGAAAAGGACCTACGGGTTACAGTGGACGAGAATATGAGGATATGAGTCAACAGTGTGCCCTTGTTGCCAAGGAGACCAATGGCATTTCTGGATGTATACGTAGGGGCATTGCCAGCAAATCGAGGGACGTGATTGTTCCCCTCTATTCGACATTGGTGAGGCCTCATCTGGAGTACTGTGTCCAGTTTTGGGCCCCACACTACAAGAAGGATGTGGAAAAATTGGAAAGAGTCCAGCGGAGGGCAACAAAAATGATTAGGGGACTGGAACACATGACTTTTGAGGAGAGGCTGAGGGAACTGGGATTGTTTAGTCTGAGGAAGAGAAGAATGAGGGAGGATTTGATAGCTGCTTTCAACTACCTGAAAGGGGGTTCCAAAGAGGATGGATCTAGACTGTTCTCAGTGGTAGCTGATGATAGAACAAGGAGTAATGGTCTCAAGTTGCAGTGGGGGAGGTTTAGGTTGGATATTAGGAAAAACTTTTTTTCACTAGGAGGGTGGTGAAACACTGGAATGCATTACCTAGGGAGGTGGTGGAATCTCCTTCCTTAGAAGTTTTTAAGGTCAGGCTTGACAAAGCCCTGGCTGGGATGATTTAGTTGGGATTTGTCCTGCTTTGAGCAGGGGGTTGGACTAGATGACCTCCTGAGGTCCCTTCCAACCTTGATATTCTATGATTCTATGAACCTCTAAGGAAGGAGATTCCACCACTTCCCTTGGTAACACATTACCACCCTCCTAGTGATTTTTTTTTTCCATAATATCCAACCTAAACCTACCCCACTGCAACTTGAGACCATTACTCCTTGTTCTATAATCTGGTATCACTGAGAACAGTCTAGATCCATCCTCTTTGGATCCCCCTTTCAGGTAGTTGAAAGCAGCTATCAAATCCCCCCCTCATTCTTCTCTTCCGCAGACTATATAATCCCAGCTCCATCAGCCTCTCCTCATAAGTCATGTGCTCCAGCCCCCTAATAATTTTTGTTGCCCTCTGCTGGACTCTTTCCAATTTTTCCACATCCTTCTTCTAGTGTGAGGCCCAAAACTGGACACAGTACTCCAGATGAGGCCTCACCAATGCTGAATAGAGGGGAACATGTCCCTCTATCTGCTGGCAATGCTCCTACTTATATGACCCAAAATACCGTTAGCTTCTTGGCAACAAGGGCACACCGTTGACTCATATCCAGCTTCTTGTCCACTTTAACCCCTGGGTCCTTTTCTGCAGAACTGCTGCCTAGCCACTTGGTCTCCAGTCTGTAGCAGTGCATGGGATTCTTCCGTCCTAAATGCAGGACTCTGCACTAGTCCTTGTTGAACCTCATCAGATTTCTTTTGGCCCAATCCTCTAATTTGTCTAGGTCCCTCTGTATCTTATCCCTACCCTCTAGCATATTTACCTCTCCTCCCAGTTTAGTGTCATCTGCAAACTTGCTGAGGGTGCAATCCACGCCATCCTCCAGATCATTAATAAAGATACTGAACAAAACCAGCCCCAGGACGGACCCTTGGGGCACTCCGTTTGATACCGGCTGCCAGCTAGACATGGAGCCATTGATCACTACCTGTTGAGCCACTGATTACTACTTGAAGAACTACCATTTCATCACATCTATTTCAAATAGTTCTTTGATGCTCATAACACTTCCCAGCATTTACACCAGTCATGTCTCCCCACAAAGAAAGTTACATACAATTTCACAATAATACATCAACTTTGTATTTTTAATACATTGGATTCCAAAGCTACTTAAATTTAATTCAATCAGATTTTTCAAGGATAGTGCAGGAAATTGCCATATCTGTAACAACTATGAACCTTCCTTTAAAATGCTTTTAGACTGGTATTTTTTGAACCAATAAGTATATAAGATATTCCTTTATAAGAAAAGTAATTTGAGATTTCGAAGAGACCGCTGGTCAAATATACGCATATATGAGAAAATATGTTACTGTGTATCAAATAGAATTCATGTGGTGAATAACTTGGTGTTCATGCATTTTCTGAACACGAGATCAGCAGTGTCCATCTGGGCTGTCCCCACTCCCATCCGAGGGCATAAAAGGTGGAGTAGATCCAACCATTCCTCAGTTCTTTTCTTACTACCTATCACTGTGACGCTGAATCCTTGCAACATCTGCCTTTTCTTAGGCTATATCTGTGCTACCACTTATTTCGGTATAACTTATGTCACTCAGGAGTATGAATAAGCCACCCCCCTGAGCAATATAAGTTACACTGATCTAAGCACGGGTGTGGACAGCGCTATATCTGTTCGAGAGCTTCTTCCTCAGACATAGCTACCACTGCTCATTGGGAGTAGATTAATTAAGTCAACAAGAGTGCTCTCTCCCATCAACTTAGAGTGACTATACTAGAGAGCTTACAGTGGCACAGCTGAAAGCTTTCTAGTGCAGTCATGGCCTTAGTTAGGCTTTGTCTACACTGGCACTTTGTCAGCAAAACTTTTGTCATTCCGGGCTGTTTAAAAAAAACACACACACCCCGAACGACAAAAGTTTTACCGATGAAAAGCGCTGGTGTGAACAGCGCTTTTTCAGCAGGAACACTCTCCTGCCGACAAAGCCGCTGCTGCTCATGAGGAATGGAATTTTTTTGTCGGCAGAAGAGCTCTCTGCTTTTTGCACGCCTTTTAGCAGCATGGCTGTAGCGGAACAGCCATGTCACTAAAAGCCACGTAGTGCAGTCATGTAGTACAGGTTGTCTTTGCAGCTGCTGAGTGTGCTGGTTGCTTTCAATTCAGGATAAATGAGGAACAATTAATGGTCATTTGATTCAGTGGTAGCTGATAAAATGGAAAACATCCTGGGGGTTGACAACAAATGCCACTGCACAAAAACGAGACTGAATGCAAGCACAGGACAGCTGGGGATTGATTTGCTTGCAGCTGTGTATCTATCTGCCAGAAACAGCCAAGAAGCAGGCAGAGAGAAGCAGAAAGAAAGAGACAGGAAAAGAAGCACTTGTAACATGTCCTTCAGAGAAAACTAAGAAGGAAAGCTCTTTGGGGAGAATGCTGGCTGGACAGAGGATTGACACTGTAAGGAAGGAACTGCTTCCTGCTGTGTGATTCCTACTATGTTCAGGGAAACAAAGCTCCATTTGTAAATGTACAGAATTCTATCCAAGAAATACCAGACTTCATCATCAATTTCTCCTCCTAACAGAAACAACCTACAAGACCCCAAATATTTGCTAACCACTCAAGTCAAGAGGGCAATACTGGTTTTAGGAGTAGGATCCAGCTTCCAAGGGGAGAAGTGTGAGCTGGTACTCCTGTTGAGCCAAGGTGGAACAAATAATGGAGATGGTTGTAGAACTCAAAGGTGCCCTGAAGAATTTGAAACAAGGTCTAAAACAAGAGCTGGAGGCTCTGCAAAAGAATTAAAGCAAAATGCTGGAAGCTTCCCAGGAAGGGCTGAGAGATGACCTGTAGGCAGAGATGAAGTCTTTTGGGGGGCAGCAGCTACAGAGTGGTTGGGGAGCCCAGCTCCAACACTTCCAAATCTGGGATGGCAAGGTAGATCAAAGAGGTGACCAGCAACCTGCCTGTCAAGGATAAGAAGGTTTTCCAGGTAAGAGGGGATATCA